GTATCCTCAGGTCATCATAGACAGGTACCGATGCAAGGATTAGGGAAGATGGAGCTCGTTGAAGACTCATTTTTTCATTTTGATTTATGCTTTAGTGTTTATCAAAATTTGACAGAACACAATTGTATAATAATTATATTATTAATGCAATGGATGTTGTTGTTGCTTGTTTACTACTTTTCATTGTTGTGATACTGTACATGACGTCCTCTGCCCCAGAACGTTTCCGACAACGTAGTGAGCGGGTGCGGGAAGACTCACCGGTTATTCCGGTGGAGGAGGACAGTGATGGATGGAACCAATTGGAGTACCGACACTACTTGGACGACATTGGACAAGGGGTGAATTATAATAATCAATCTTTTGAATACCTCTTCCAACAGATGAACATTGCCCCAAGACCCGGACCCGGCTATCCATATATTATGAATTGGGACGAGAGAATGAGGATAAGAGATGGAGAAGGAGGAAGTGGCGCGAGAGGTGCCGACATGGAAGATGAAGAATGAAGAATTTTCTTTTGTGTTTTTATGTTTATGATGTTTTGTTATGTTTTGAACAATTGTCAAACACTTGGATGATTTTTATTTTTTGTTTGATTATTATTGTCACTTTTAGTTGTTTATTTTTTAGGGATAGAAGATTAGGAGGCATACTAATTTGTGAGGGTCAAGAAAGGAATGAAAGATTTTCAAGAAAAATATGGAGTTTTGTCCTTGAGATTCAGTCCGTGAGAGTCGTAATGGAGAGTGTTGCTGCTGAAGGAATTAGAGTGAGGGTCAGTTTGCATTTCCAATTTCAAAACCAGAGTCGAAAGAAGCATCAACTAGATCAGTTTTGGAAAAACAACGCTTACTCGCCGAGTGCACAAACTCTACTCGCCGAGTACCTGAGATATTACACGATATCGTTCCAAGTCAAGAGATACTTGCCGAGTCCACGCTATTACTCGCCGAGTAGACTGCCAATTTTCGATTTCCAGAACTGTTTTGAGTACTTTCACTGCAACATTTACCCACTTTTTGTGAGGAATTGCCACTGGAGATTTTCTAACAAGTTTGTTCCGTGAAATTTTCGAGCTGTCAATCACACGAGACGCATGACACCCGAGTCATGGATGAGTTGTTCCCATGGCTAAAGTCAAGAAAAGAAGGAGATGAAGAAGAGAGTATCAACCTATCGACTGCTACCCTAGGGGAGTTTGTTCCAATTCTCTCTCTATATTTGCGTTTTTATTATTTGCATAATATGCAATGAGGGCATTGCATAAAATAAGTGTAGGGTAGGGGGTTGGTCACATATTAGACAATTTAGAATCTTAATTTAGGCTAATTTAAAAAAAAAATTGCATACCAAAAATATTACTTAGGATTTAATTTAGAAAATTTTGGTAAAAGTAAATTAGGGTTCCATGTTAGTACTTGGGTAAGTACGCGAAGACGTGTATCACAGATTCATTGCTTCAACGAATTTACGAGTAATCAAATGAAAAACCCTTTAGTAAATGAAAATGTAAAAAAGCTTGTAAAAACGTGGGGGTATGAACTCACATTGAGTGTGATTGCGGTTAGAATCTAACTTGAAACGATCAGTGTTTCGTGATTGTCGGCTCGGGAAGCGAAACAACTTCAAAAAACGAGAGAGAGAGAGAGAGAGAGAGAGAGAGAGAGAGAAAGAGAGATAGAGAGAGAATAGATTTAGGTGTAAGGAAGCTTAGAGTTGAACTTGATATTTATAGGATGTCGAAGTCATGTCCACGTCTTGGAAATGGAGCTGCATCACCTCGTAGACTTGCCATTTGGGTCCTAGCTTCGGAAGGCGTTACGATACTGATTCCATGTCGTGGGTTTTATTTCCACATCGTGGAGATTCAACACCTTACTCCCGTAGACTTTCCATCTACATACTAGCATTGAGAGGTGTTTTAGATCACTTCCACGTTGTGGAACTCATGTACACGTCGTGGAACACAACTAAGCTAGGGTTTCTGCTATGTGTTATGCCCTCAGACAGCTACATCTTCGGAAGGTCATAACTTTTGCATACGAGCTCTGTTTTTGACGTTCTTTATATCCACGCGTAGGTGGAGACGTATTCTACAACTTTCATTTAGATCACTAAGGCTAAAAAGTAATCTATCGTAAACTCACTTTTTACGATTTTCGGTGTCGTGCCAGTTTTGTTGCGAAACTTCGACATGTCATAACTTCTTTACTTTTAAATATTATGACTTATGTTTGACATAGTTGACTTGTTTGACTTTCATTGGCTTGAAATAACTGGTTGTTACATGTATCGGCCTGATTTTGAGGGATTACTTGCAGTTGTTGGGTTCTTTTCCCTTGTTGTCATGATTTGTTTTGCTGCACAGATTCTCCACACGAGAATTAGGTTTGATGCTTGATTTCTTCACCCGAAAAGGTCTTTCTTTCGTTGGTACTTCTTCTTTTTAATTCTCTGATACCAATTAAAGAATAGAGAACGTGAATGCCAAAACTCACTCCGGACTTTATTGAAGAAATATAATTCATACAAACTTCAATCTCTTAAAAACAAATACAAGAACCTAACATCTATAAAGACTAAACAATTAGGATTCCTATTAAACTAGAGTTTCCTTGTAACTCAAGGAGTTCTAGAACAACGTGGACAACACACCAAGGCTTGGACAACACTTAAAGTAAATAGAAGATATGAACATAACACACATACATGCTACATCTGTCTCATAAATTCACGAACAATGACTACATATATAAATTTTCATCAAATTTTGTAGTGTTACGGTGCAAAAAACCCAATAAAAACTCTACACTCTTGTTTTTATTTTTCTCGAAACAATTATTCAATATTTCCACTTTTCATTTTTTCAAATGTAGCAACCAAAACACGTTGATTACTTTTTATATAATAATTACCGTAAAATTTCATTCAACAACTAATTAATTTTTTTTGCGACAAGTGAGTAATTCAATCCTCTGCAACTACTACACTAATAATAATATCCACACATAAAAGGTAATTCAATTATTCACCCATTTTTATAAAATTTCCCAACCCATAACATTTGCACGTGGAGGCATCCCATGACTAACATAGACTAACGAGGATTATATATGGAGCCGATATATGTTGTTGTAATGATTGGGATTAGGATTGGAAAGATTTTCTCATCGTTATATATTTTGGTTTTCAGTTGGACGAAGCATAGAGGTAATGTTATTAATTGTAACTGGGAAGTTTGGATTGTTTCCCATATCCGATCTTCTTTCTTTTAGATCGTGGTTTTATAAAATTCAGTCGACTAAAAAAAAGAGAAAAAAGATGAACATTTTATCATAAACTGCCAACGATGATAATCACTTTTATTAAATTATATCCTTTTTTATCATGGTGATATATGATATGTATATTTTTCTTTTTAATGAAAGAGAATAACAATAGTCTAGTTGGTTGTTGCATAACATGGGTGTTATGGGTTAAAAGTGTTCGAGTTATAATTGAAAATTGAACCAATTAAGTCGGCTTTTAAAAAATCATGCAGTTATAGGAGGACTTATGAATACATAGTAGATGTTGCTGATATTGAAATAAGTGTTGCCGATGTAGAAAAAAACAATTGTTGCCGGTGCCCCACCGGAACACCTACTAGGTCCGTCCTTCAGTCCCTGCATGCATGTGAATGAGTGAAATATGAATGAAATATATACATGTTTTGTTGCATTTTGGTTTTAATATACAAACCTAAATTAATGTCATTTTAACTTTATAAAATATGTTAAAATATACAAAAAAAACATTTTATCACTTTTTTCGATCTAATCCCTAAATTCTAATATATGCTGAAAAGTTAGAATTACAAACCGAAATTACAATCATTTTAACTTTATAAAACAGGCTAAAATAGTTAAAAAAAAAAACATAATATTTTATCCGCATTAATAGGACCTCACAGGTCCCAATTAATCCATAGCTCAGAAAATCGTAGCATTCTACGTTTTCTCCTTCTCCCTGCGATACAACTTTCTTCATTTTTTCTAGTATCTATTTTGCGTTTACCAATTGTTCTATTGATTTTGGAACGAACGATAATTAGATTAAATATTAGGGTTTTATAATGCGACTTACAACCATCCCATCGTAGTACATAAAAACATTTAAGGACATGACTCATTTAAGATAGTTACCAGTCAAGATCTGAAATTTTCAGGTCGATTTTTTTTATCTCATTTTTAGTTTATTCGATAACATGACAGTCTTCTTCTATATTTTTTTTTAACAAATTTAATCGCGAATGATCAATATGATTTTAAATAATAATTAAAATTTTTATTTACAATAAAGCAACATATCATTTTTAGTATTATTTATTGATTTATTACTTTGGATATTACTAACAGTTCGATATTAATTTACATTATTAATGGCCGAATTATTTCTATGTCGAGCCTGAAATACATCAGAATATGGTTGTCAAAATCGCGATCATGATCGTAGGATCATACGATCCTAAGTATGAAAAACGAGTCGGATTGTATTTGGGGTAACATTGAAGGTAGGATCGTAAGATCCGGATCTAATCCGATCCTACCTTCTCTTGATTTTTTTTTTAATTATTTTTTTTGCAAATGAATTTTTTACCACTTTATGTCTTTTAGTATTTACCAATTTACCCTTTATCACTGTGTACTGTGATTTATAACTAATATTTTAAAGTTTTTATAAATTTTGAATGAAGTTTGAAATATTTTTATATTTAAATTTAAATTTAAATTTTATTTTATTTAATGGGATCTTAAAATCCCAATTTTAAAAACCTAAAAACAATCCAAGGTAAAATTACTAGCATCCTTTTATGAATATACTTATGTTAAATTAGTTTATTAGAAGACAAATGCATGATAATGCCGGGTCAAATTGATTCACATGGAGTTGGACCCACACTTGTTTTTAAATGATATCCAAACCTATATCTCGTTTTTCCGATTATAGCGTATAGCATGTACACTTGCATGCTGTACATCAATACTTATCAAGTAAAAATCTATATTAAATTATATTTTATTTAATTTTATGCAATCTAAATGACTAAACATAAGATATTTTCCTTATAAATAAGTCTCCAGCATTTGCATTGAAAGGACGTACAAGCGGAAAGCTTCTCTCTTCCTTCTCCTCTTCACTCCTCTTCACTCTCATCAGGATCATGGATCCCTACAAGGTACAACTCTCGAATGCCGCTTTGTACAACTCTTTCATGCATACAATGATGATGTTTGGAATGATGGGATATATTGTTTTTGATCTTTATTTCGAAAAAGTTTCACAAACCTACTTTGTTACAAAAAACTTTTCATATCACTCGGTTTTGAACGATCATCGTATACACAACATTTATTTTTATTTTTCTCTTTGGATCATATGATTTTTATAATTTTTTTTATATAGTATATACAAAAATGTTGATGTTTGTATGTGCTACAGTATATATATATATATATATATATATATATATATATATATATATATATATATATTCAAGGTTTGCTCAAGCATTTGACGTGCTTAGTATTTGCTTTTATAAAGATAGACATACATTTATAAAACTTACGGAATAATATTTTTATCACTCTTACAGTTACAGACAATATCACGTTATTAGTTATGTTTGATTTGATGTAGTATGTGCGGTGTGCCATCTTTTCGATAATAAATGTTTGCTTGTTGTTTAAAGTACTTTTAATAATAATTTCAGTTTTGAAAAAAATAATATTGATTATTATTGTCGGGAAATTTAATGACTAATTTAAATTTACAAAACTAGTTTGTAAATATAAATTTAAAACATTTAAAACAGAACATATTAAAAGTAGTTTGTTTTCTCAACAAAGATAGAATTTAGTAAGATCGGATGGTTTTGAAATCCAAACTTCATGACGTGTACAAGATCTTATACAATTTGATGCATTTTATTCTTCTCCTCTTAGTACAAACAAAAAAATATTAGAAAATAAGCAATTATATTTCATGTGTTCTTCTCTTACTTTAATACACGAGCAACAAATTTATTAATCTCATACTTAAATGTGTATAATTTATTACGATAACAATTATTTCTTTTGTGTTAGAAAAATAACATGTAATTAAATATAGAACTTAACAAATAAGTTTAAAGATTTATTGAATATCCAATACTTTTGATTAAAACAAATGAATATAGGTTATTAGGGCTGTTCATCGGTTTGAGTTGTGGTTGCGTGAATGAATAATTACTTAGTGGGAATTAGGGGTTATGATTTCACATTTTAATTGTATTTTTTTATGTAATTTTTTTATTATAATGTTAATAAAGTTTTCTTTATATTTAAAATATACAAATAAACGTATTAATAAATTTATATAAATTGGAATATTGGATAATAATTGAATGGGTCAATCAAATGATAATTGGATGGATCCAGTTACATGAATCCAAGAATAATAATTGAATCAAATAGGTTCGGTTTCTCTTGGATCTGGATTATCATCTAACAATCGATCCAATTTAAATTTAAATTTAAATAATAAATATTTTTAACCGATCTAATAAAATCACAAATAAATATCTACTGTTTGCCAATCATTTTTAACTGAATCGGATCAATTAATTTCTATGCATCTTAGCTTATCATAAAGTCAAAATTAGACAGACCATCAAAAAACACGAATCGTTTTGAAAAAGATTTTGGTCTAAAAATATATATCGTACTCTAATACGAAGCTTACTACATAATATGGTATACTTCTATTTATTTATTTTTTATTTTTTAATAAAAGACTTTAGATCAGCGATATCAGATATGTGTAGAAAGATTATCAATTTACTAATTTATATAAAATAAATATTTTCAAGCATTTAACATTATAAAATCACCCCTTTTTATTATCTACATAGAAATTTCCATTTACTTTAAAACAATTGATGATATGTTATAGTTATATATGTAACATTTACATAAAATAAAAAAAAATAATAAATCTAATGATATGAATAATTAAAATTTGTTATTTGATAAAACAATATAACCTTATATTTTAACTTTTCACCTTTAATGGTTTTACAAACTACAAAGTAAAAACCATTTTTTAGGATATGAAATAATATTTATATTTTAATTTAAAATTGAAATATATTATTAAAAACATATGAAAAATTCTGTCAGTCTGTCACCTTTACAGAACACCTCCCGTCTCCTGCAGCACCGTTCTACCGGCGGCCACCGTGTGAATATCTTATGCTTGTTTAATCTTGACACTGATCTTTTTTTTTTTTTGTTTTTTTTCAATCGCTAAAATCATTTAAATGGCGTCAGATGTTATACTCTGAGTAAATTTCGTATGATTTATCGTGTAAATTCAACTCTATAATAAACCAAGGAGCTGAATCTATCGTCCGATTGTGCAGGAATCGAAACTCATCCTCCCTCCCCCTGATGTAATTACGGATAAACTGTTATCTTTTTAATCGAAATGAATCAGTGACATTTTCGTTCACTAATTCTTCGATTTGTTATTTTGTTGCAGCAACGCCCTTCAAGTGCTTACAATTCCCCATTCTGGACAACAAACGCCGGTTTACCAGTCTACAACAACACCGCATCACTGACTGTTGGAAACAGAGGTCCGATTCTCCTTGAAGATTATCATCTGATCGAAAAACTTGCGAATTTCACTCGTGAAAGGATCCCAGAACGTATAGTTCATGCAAGAGGTGCTAGTGCAAAGGGTTTCTTCGAGGTCACCCATGACATCACTCATCTCACCTGTGCTGATTTCCTCCGTGCTCCCGGAGTTCAAACTCCGACGATTGTTCGTTTCTCTACTGTCATCCATGAACGTGGAAGCCCTGAAACCATCAGAGACCCCCGAGGTTTTGCAACAAAGTTCTACACCAGAGAGGTAATTAAGCTTTAGCTTTGATGATAACAACTGAATACGAATATGAATATGTTGATTTCTTCTCTAGAAAACTTGACAATATTTGTTCTGTTTGACTTTTAGGGTAACTTTGATATTGTGGGAAACAACTTCCCTGTGTTCTTCACTCGTGATGCAATGGCATTCCCAGATGTGATCCATGCATTTAAGCCAAACCCTAAATCGCACATCCAAGAAGACTGGAGAATTCTCGACTTTCTCTCACACCATCCAGAAAGCTTGAACACGATGACATTCTGGCTGGATGATGTTGGGATTCCAACTGATTACAGACACATGGAAGGGTCAAGTGTCAACACTTTAACCCTAGTTAACAAAGAAGGGAAAACACACTATGTGAAGTTCACATGGAAACCCACATGTGGGGTTAAGTGTTTGATGGATGAGGAAGCTATCAAGATCGGAGGAGCTAATCACAGCCATGCAACACAAGATCTTTACGACTCCATTGCAGCTGGGAATTATCCAGAATGGAAGCTTTTTCTGCAAGTTATTGACCCGGATCATGAAGACAGACTTGACTTTGACCCACTTGATGGAACCATGGTATGGCCGGAAGATGTGGTACCTTTGCAGCCGGTTGGGCGTATGGTTTTGAACAAGAACATTGATAACTTCTTTGCTGAGAATGAACAATTGGCGTTCAATCCGGGTCTTGTTGTCCCCGGAATCTACTATTCCGATGATAAGATGCTTCAAGGGAGAATTTTTGCGTATTCCGATACTCAAAGGCATCGTCTTGGACCCAATTATCTCCAACTTCCGGTCAACGCGCCCAAATGTGCTCATCATAACAATCATTATGATGGAAATATGAACTTCATGCATAGAGATGAAGAGGTGGGTTATCTTTTCATTTTGTTATGTTTAATTAGTTCATAAAAATTTGGTGACTTTCATTAATTAATTACAAGAAAAAAATACACCCAAAATCAAAACTTTCTAAAATACATGCGATGGATTTCTTCCAGGTTGATTACTTCCCTTCGAGGTATGATCGTGTTCAACATGCTCAGAAGTACCCGATCAATTCTGCTAGGGTTACGGGAACCCGTGAAAGGGTTAGTTTTTTTTTTTTTTTTTTTTTGGTTTCTTCCATGACTCATTTTTATCAAATATTAGAAAATAAAAACATCAAAATAAATAATTATGTTTTTTTTTTCAATGCAGACTGTGATCCCAAAATTTAACGATTTCAAGCAGCCAGGAGAGAGATACAGATCTTGGGAACCAGACAGGTACTTATTAATTATTATTATATTATATCTCATTTGTTTTTTCTATATTTGTTTCAAGATTCCATCAAATTTATAAACTGTTAATTATAATTATAGGCAAGAACGATTCATTCACCGAATGGTTAAGATGTTGTCCGACCCACGGGTCACCCATGAGCTCCGCAGTATTTGGATCTCCTACTGGACCCAGGTATGTTCTAATGTTCATGTAACAATGTAACATGTAAATGATGTAATTAATCATGTCCCCCTTTATAATATTGTTTGTTGTAATTTTAAAATTTGGGTGATTTTTTTTTTTTTTTTTTTGCAGGCTGACCAGTCTTTGGGCCAGAAGATAGCATCAAGGCTCAGTGTGAGGCCCAGTTATTGAACATAAACGTTTTGGGACGATTGTTTGAGTGTGGTCAACGGGTCAATGTCGAGGTCAAGGTCAAGGTCTGTCTCTTAAGTTTGTTGCACAAATGGTGTCAATGTTGTTGTGTACTATCTTTTTATTATGTAATATTTTCGTATACTTTAAGGAGCCTGGAACTTAGAATAAGAGCACACTTCGATGTGCTGAGTTACTGTGTTTCAGGTTCGGGTCTGTAAAGCGAAAGCCTATATACTTTATGGGTCACGTGTTATGTAATATGTAAGTTGTTTCTTTTACATGTAATCTTGTTTTTTTTGCAATCTATTTGATACTTGGAGTTGGATTGTAAATGTGGTGGGTTGATTTTCTTCTTTATGTTTGACACATCACACATGGAATTGATTGGGCTTACATTTATCCAAATGAAAAGCCGAATATAGCAACTCTGATGGGCTTACATTTAGATAAAATATAAAATGTGACTGTTGTACTATATAGTTTTTAAACCGGATTTTCCAAAACAAAATGATGATTTTTATACCATGTCATAACTCGCAATGAATGGTTATGTATGAAATGTTAAATATTGCCCTACTTGGCTTGATGTTATACCGTGGAAGTTGGAAGCTGCTATTCTCTTTTACACCAACTTCAATCTCAACTTCAACCTGACATTTTGATCACGAAGGTTTAGTTCACTATGATTCATTCGAAGTCAACTCCTTGATCATATGGTATGAAATAGCTCTTGACAAATTATCGATTCACCTATTATACCAATTTTTTTTAATAACTAATTTGATTTTTGGGGTTTTCTTGGACCGACGAACGGCCCAAGATGCTTTAACCCCATTTTGTTTGTGTGCAGCAACACAACATTTCACTTATGAAGCTTGGTATTGTTAAGCACGTCTCCTCAAAACAGCATTGAAGATAATCTCAAATCAGGTAATACAATGTCATTTCGATTTTCTTAAAATACATATTTGTTCATTGAATTTTAATGTCAAGAATCTTAATCAAATTAGACTTCTGTGACATTTTTTTTACTAAATACAAAGAAATCAATCAACAAACATTTAGTCTACATGATATATTATTAGCGTATTTAAATTCATCACAACATACCAACCAATTTTGACTATGTTAGATGTCATTAGATAGTGACTACATTTTTAAGACGTGAGCCACTTTTAGTGTCCGGCTTAAACCCACTATTATTTATTTATTTATTGGATTTTTGGAGCACTAAACAAATAGAAAAAAGTAAAAATATAATTAAAGTCTTCCACATTAAATACAAAGGAAACATGTTATAAATATCAACTATAATAAAATACACAAATTTACGTGGAAAGTTGTAGTAAAAATACCACAAGATACCGACTCGACTAATTGAATCCAAAATTAGAGATGTGATATTAAAAAAGTAATACCATCAAACACGATGTTGTGCTGGCTAAACGTCTTTCGACAAAATAATCGTCTAGCCACTAAAATACCTTACTGTATCAAATATACAAAAATGTCTTATGATATTAAATGCTTGAACAAGCCAAACAATTTTTAAATTTATTCAACGTTTACTTACCAAAGGGCCTCTAGTCCAGCGGTATCCGGTGTTGCTCTCTTTCCTTGAGGTTGAAGTCCAAATCTCGTCGTGGACATATGTGAAATTAAGGAGTAGTTTAGATATGAGTAGATCACATTTGCTGTTTCAAAAAGAAAAATCAACATTTAGTTAAACTCTTTCTTACTGACATTAAAGAAGTCTCAAATATATATGAGGGGTGAATGAACGATGAGTACAACAATAAATATATACGAGAATTTGAAAACCAAAACCAAGAAAAAGCGTTGAAACTTTAAATGAGTTTCTTCGACAATTTGGATTAAATAAATAAGTTTCTTCGACAAATCGTATATCAATATCTTAAAACTCCCATTACCAAAAGCCTATAAAAGTAAGTAGTACCTTCCAAACATTTTGGATCATTTGAAGGTGGTTGAGCATACGCTTGTTCCATACATGCAACAGCAATAACACGAAGGACAATGGGCAGTATCTCCAAAGGAGTTCAACCCAAGATGAAATCATACACATTGTGGATGATGTCAAATATATCTATCTTTGAGAACAATTATTAAGTCTGTTGCTTCCAAAAACATTTAGTACATCATCATAGTCGGCTTGAACGAGTAATGCTCTCATCTTGTCTTGTAATAGATGAAGGTTACTTCAACCATTGACACTTTTGGTTGTTGGATTTAATAGGGCTTATTATGGATCAAATGGTTTTCTTCAACAAATGAGTTATAAGATATCAATATCTCAAAACTCCTATTACCAAAAGCCTTTAAAAGCACGTAGTACCTTCCAAACATTTTGGATCATTTGTAGGTGGTTGAACATGCGTTTAATCTATACGTGCATTGTTTGAAGGACAAAGGCCAGTAACTCCAAAAGATATTAACCCAAGATGAAGTTATACACATTTATGGATGATGTCAAATATCCCTATCTTTTAGAACAATTATTATGTTATTGTTACTTCCAAAAGCATTTAGTGCATCATCATAATCAGCTTGAACGAGTAATGCTCTCATCTTGTCTTGCAACAAATGAAGTTTACTTCAACCATTGACATTGCTTGATTAAAATGGCATTCTGCACTGGTTGTTAGATTTAACAGGGTATATTAATTTAGTCTCTTCGGCGAGACATTACTTGGATAGCGGCATGTTTACCAAAAATATTTATTCAATGAGATGGAATAATCTAGTCTCGATTAAGTTGAATATATTCATGTTGAGGGTATTTATTAATCGTATTCTAACCCGTGCTAGTTTAGATGACCAAGGAATACACTTAACACTTGGATTCTACTATTTTCCTACTTTATGAAAAGGTCACATAGACTGCCCCACATTTGTTTTCTATGTGCTTCGTTATTCTAGACATTTGGGCTCTTGTTGTGCGGTGGTGGAATTTGGTTGCCCTTTTTAATGCTATGGTGGTTGATTAGATAACATAGGCAGATATCATGAAGCTTAATTTGGTGCATCACATAATGTAATGATGTGGTTATCATCACCTCTTTTTGGGTTGTATGGAAGTTTCATAAGTCCTTGCTCTTTGGAACCGGTAGACCTTATAAAGCTAATATTTTTGATGATATAGTACCGCAATCATTTTTATGGACTTGAAATAGGTGAAATAACTATATCATGAGTTGAGTTGGTTTATTGCACAACCCCTCATTAGTATTTACGGCCTTGCACTTTGTTCTTTTCTCACTAGCACCTTGTTAGTGTTTTATAAAATATTCTATGGTTCCAAAAAAACTAAGACAATATTTATAAACCTCTAACAAAAATCCTAAAATCTCTAAGTAACCAAATATATGTAAATGTTGGCTTTGAATAATAACTTAGGATGGAAGTAATCGGATAACTCTCGTGTGGGAGAATTCAATTCACATGTAAAAACAAAAGTGACATTAAAAATTCTCCTATATTTTATTCTTATTATCATCATACCCACATAAAATGGTGACAAGTGGACTAAAATTAAATCAATTTCATTAAATATGTCGTTAAATATAACACATGTCAACATTTGATATGATATAAAGATAAATATGAATAAAATGTTGGGGAATATTTAATTTCTCAAAACAAAACTGGTGAAACCAAAATCATGTCTCACCCAATAAAACTTATGCTCGGCTCCCTAGTTCATTAAAGGAAAGAAAAGAAAAGACAATAAAAGAAAAGGAAATAAAGGAATTGATATTCCTTTCTTTTCTCTCAGGTCACTTCGGATTTGTGAGGTCAATTTGTAGGGAAAATTAACATGAATCTTTCATTCCTTTCTCTTCTCCTCTTTCCGATAAATAAACTCAAGAGCAACAATCCTTCCAAATCTTCCCACTTCATTTCACTTCTCTCGTTTAATTAAGCTCCGGAGCGGATCGTTCGAACTTTGTAATGTAACAACTTCAAAGTTTGCAATTTTGTTATTGAATCGCAAGCTTAAATGTTCACGCTCTCTTATAGTGTCCACAGGAACACCATATCACAAGTGAGAAGGCTTTTTCTTTTGTGAAGAAAGAATGATGATAATCACTAAAATTACAAAAATAAAATAGAAGGGGTGGATAGAATGACCTATTTTTCAAAACTATCACAAAATAACCATTTATTTTGCAAAACAGATATTCAGGATATTCTTTTATTTTGTGAATTACATTTGTGGCCATTTCAACAATTCTTGGCCACTTTTTCTTAATTAGTTTTCGCAAAGCCTTTTGCACAATCATTGTCTATCTTGAATTTCCATGTGCAAAAGGCTTTGCACAATCGATGTCTATCTTGAATTTCCATGGAAATTAAACAAGTCCTTAAGCCTTCATATCTTCCATCTTGAAACATGATTTTTTTTTCAATCTTAAATAAATTCACAATATCGGGAAGTTAGAGTACTTATTGGGTGTGATATGAAGTCAATTGGTGTTTGCGTATACGATGTCAAGACTAATGAAAGTACGAAACGCTTTTTAGATTTGTGATCCGGTATAACCCATATCAGAGTATGCATGTATTTGCATGATCTTGTTCTATCAAGGGGCATAACATCATTATTGTCATGGAGGAGGGTCAAATCCTATCTCAGCCTTAAATATTGCATCAAAATAGATTATGTGATTAAATATTGCATCAAAGTGGATGACTTACACATAATATGCTACAAGATCATTAAATAAAAAATGGTATTAATAAAAGATCATGCAAGAAACACTATACTCTTATGATATCCCATGTAGTGGTCTCATTATGATTCTCTTCAATACACAAGTTCACAAACTTGTATCCATATGCAAACTATATTACTATATATCAACCGTATGGGTTCCTATGTATATGAACTTCAACTCAACTCAAGTCTAAATTAATATTCGATCGAAAAGGTTTTGAAGAATTAGATGCTTGAGGTCTATTATCATGTTTGTAATATACAGATCTAGTATCATAATGAAATATAGTAATCAAACAATATTTTTATCAAATAACATCATAACTCAGAGAAAGTACAATCATTATAATGATTGGCATTTGGATATACTAGAAACAATTAAAACCACTCCACATGTTATGTTCAGAATCTAAGCTAAATATATACTGTATATATAAAAATCGATCAACATTTGTTCAGAGGTTTAACCAAATTATCAAGCTAAAACATCCACAAAGGGTGAATGAACTTCTGTATTTTAGATTTTTAGGCAACAAGTACTTTGGTCATAAACATACTTTTTAATAAATGTAATGTTACTTACATTTAACTAAGCTAAATATGAAGAAATCCGATTAACAATTTTTACCATATTTGGAAGGTTGGTGTATTTGCATATATTGTTGATGGGGCTTTTATAATTATCTTAACCACAACAAATATATTTCTTATCCCAATAGTTGAGAAATATAAAACAAAAAGATATATATATCATTTATATCATATCATGTTCATATAATATATAATTAACTTATAGAAACATACCTGTTATAAATGGAAAAAACCTCAACCTTTTGGTGTGAAAACATGACAACAAGGTTATAAGTGGAAAAAACCTCAACCTTTTAAACTGTTGGCTTGACTGGTATATTTGAAGTTTTAATTTCTAAAATAAACATTTTTAGTGGTTTTTAAAAATTATGCAACCTACAAATACAAACAAAAAAAGAGTTGTCATGGGAATAAAAAGGAAATTGAAAGATCCAGAAATTAATAATTTTTGTGGCCAAATTAAAACAAAAGAAACCTTATCAAAAGGCATCTATATGCGTTCACACTTAACAGAGTGGATATGGAGTTGATGAGCACACGTATCAAAGCATTCGTAAACACGTGTCATTATATAAGAGGTCCATGTCATCAACCTGACACGAGTGGTTCTTTTTTAATTTCGATAAGCTCCAAAAGTTAGGATAAGGAAATAGAGGTATGGCGTTCTAATTTATTAATATTTTCCAAAAGACCCCTAAGTTATAGATAGTTCCATAAAACACCCTAATAACAATATGTATTCAATAAAACCCTTCAATCTAAATCACAAATCGCATGTCTAATTATATTGGGTTCTAGTGACTTACCTTTTTTCTTATATGAGAGTAAATAAAAATAAAATATAGGTGATTATTCTGTTATACAAAGTTCAGTTGGTGAATTTGAAAATGAACATGTCTATTGCTTGAAGTATGACCATTTGAGGGTGTTTATGAAAACTAACACAAACTTTGGGGCACTTTATGCAACTTGTTTATATTTTTAAATAGTTTCATAAACTCTAATATTTTATTTATGGCTTTATAGCACTCCTACTCTCCTCGGTTTTTTCACCTCTACACAAATTATAAGATCATGGGACCCACACTAGCATAAAAAACCGGTTTCCCTTACATGAGATTTTGTGTATAAATAAAGTATCAGTCAAAATATCGTGTTTCTTTTCCATCATGTCTTTCATATGTGATCTTAAAAAGATTAGTGGATTAACCCAATTGTAAAAAGTGAATTTGCCTTGTTTTGGCTATTGGATCGGGGTTTGACAAGTTTTAAAATCTGGCATTGCTTTATCTTTCTGATTTCAAAACAATAATAATAATAATAATATATTATTATTATTATTATTATTATTATTATTATTATTATTATTATTATTATTATTATCATCATCATTAAACTATTTTTTTACAAATTTGAAAATCTGGCATTGTTTTATCTTTCTAGTTTTAAAAAAAATAATTAAAATTTCTATAAGACTTTTACAAACACGATCAACGTACATAATGATACATATCATCATGAATTCATGTTTATCACATCTTTTGCCCTGCTTTATGTTTAGGTTTCTTAAATCTTTCTATGTTAATTCGGCGTGCTAGTTAAGTAGTTTTTGTCAGAAACTGAGGTAAATCGATTTTTTTTGATTCTCTGATAGTCATGATACACTTTCATATCGAAATATTTCGATGATATAATCGAAAATTCAATCGGATAAAACTCAAAGAATGAAGAATTTTATAAACTTCTTGTGTACCAAAAAAATATAAAAAACAAAATATAACTCTATGTTTGAAAGCTGTTAAAACTGTCACAAGGCAGTTTCAAACCTATCACAAAACTGCGATAAAAAAACTGAATCCAAGATAAGGGTAAAAATCAGGTCCATTTTCTCAGAGATTTTGACCCTAGCTAGGGACGCTGCCCCTTAGACCCTGCTAGGGGTTGCCACCCATTGGACCTCGTTACTAGGGACGCTGTCCTTGGACCCCTGTCAGTTCAGTGGTTTCGCGTCTAAATAACAATGTACGTTCAACCAAGATAAACTTAAACAAATGTGCATTGCGCACTATCCTAATTTGTTCAATATTTATCAATGTAACATTATCAAAACAGATTAATCCCATTAAACTTAAATAACATTGATAGCACTAATCACACTCTTTGGTTGCTCGTATTATTGTTTTGTCATTCATGCATCAACCATTCATAATTGTAACTTGAATCACGATGACAAAAATATGAACATATGCACATAAAATACATATAACACAACTATTTATGATTGTTCTATTATATAAAAGAACTATGAAATTAATTTGAATGTGCATTATTTTCTGCTTCCATATTGTTGGTAGAAATCGACACTTCTCCTTGGACATTGTGATTGGATGGTGTGCCAAAAGATAAAGCCTGTAGATTTTATTATACAGATATTTTTTTTCACTTTAAATAACTTCATAAACATAACTGGTTTAAGTTATTTGACAGTTGAGCCAACCATATGTTTTAACCGGCACACGAGATAAAAGGGGTGATAAATACAATATCATTTTCTCATGATATTTTGAATGCACGCGAAAAATAGAAGAAGATAATTGAGAAAATTTTATTTTTGTTCCTAGAGGCTAAAACTTAACCCCAAACCGCTTGTATATAAAAAGTCTATCAACATTTCGTAAGAGCAAAAGAGTCTCTTCCACAAGAAATCATCACAGCTTTCATCCACCTTCATATCCATGGATCCTTACAAGGTAGAACTCTCGTATACTGTTTTTGAAGCTTATGTACTACTTCAGTGCTGTTTCCGCAACTCTTTGACTCAGTTATCTCTATATGAATCGTGTTTGTTAGGTTATATGATTTATATATTGCAATTTGTTGTATTTGAATTGATATACATGTTTGACCACTTGATTTTGCGTAGTTTTCGATTCAATTGATTATTGATGATTGAGGTGAAGGTTTTTCCTGAATTAGATTACTTTTGCCCTAAATCATGAGATTGAAAGTATGTTGATTTTGAACTGTAGTGATCGAATTCGATTCACAAGCACTTCCATCCATGCATGTTTCCTTTTAATAAAGGAAAATTTTGATTGTTCTATGGTTTTATTTTAAGATACGAAGTAAAGCTCTGATTCCATGCCCATATTAAACTTGTTATATAGGTAATTTCTAGATTGCCTATTCCTTTAAGCAACTTAAGATCCAATTTTTAGCTTTCTTTTATCAACCGAGTTTTTTTTTGCATATGTCAATCCGTAGGAACACTTGATTCTTTAACCTTGTATCAAATTGCAATATCAATGGTTTTTTTTTGGGGATTAACTTATCTATTGTGCTGATATTCTGATATTACACATATAACACACTACAATTGTACATACCATAGTTCTACTTACTCATAGATTTTACCTTTTTGGCTGATGCAGTATCGTCCTTCAAGTGCATACAATGCCCCATTTTGGACTACCAATTCTGGTGCTCCGGTTTACAACAATAACTCTTCATTGACAGTTGGCACAAGAGGTACTTAAGTTTGGTATCTGTCATCTTCTTCTCATCAAACTTGGAATTTCTTGTTGGACTCTTTCATCTTAGGTTATGCGAATATGAATCTCATCCACTAATCATAATTCCTCTTTTGTCATATTATAGGCCCAATCCTTCTTGAGGATTACCATTTAGTGGAGAAACTAGCCAACTTTGACAGAGAACGCATCCCTGAACGTGTTGTCCATGCAAGAGGTGCCAGTGCAAAGGGTTTTTTCGAGGTCACACATGACATTTCTGCCCTCACATGTGCTGACTTTCTTCGTGCCCCTGGCGTCCAAACTCCTGTCATTGTTCGTTTCTCCACTGTTATCCATGAACGTGGAAGCCCTGAAACTCTCAGAGATCCTAGAGGCTTTGCAGTAAAGTTCTACACCAGAGAGGTAAAGGAACCCCCCTCCCCCTACCCTCTACCCCTACCCCCTACCCTATACCCCCTCTCAAATATCTTATATCTTCTTATTGACACTTGCAGGGAAATTTTGATTTGGTGGGGAACAATTTCCCAGTGTTCTTTATTCGTGATGGGATGAAATTTCCAGACATGGTTCATGCTCTGAAACCAAACCCTAAGTCTCACATTCAAGAAGACTGGAGAATTCTTGATTTCTTTTCTCATCATCCTGAAAGTCTACACATGTTCACATTCCTTCAAGATGACATTGGTGTCCCACAAGATTATCGCCACATGGAAGGCTCAGGAGTCAACACCTACACCCTAATCAACAAAGCCGGAAAAGCATACTATGTTAAATTCCACTGGAAACCAACATGTGGGGTCAAGAGTCTTCTAGAAGATGAAGCAATCAAAGTTGGTGGAGCCAATCACAGCCATGCAACACAAGATCTTTATGACTCCATTGCAGCTGGAAACTATCCTGAATGGAAGCTTTTCATTCAGACCATTGACCCTGATCATGAAGATAGGTTTGACTTTGACCCTCTTGATGTCACCAAGACATGGCCTGAAGATATTCTGCCATTGCAGCCTGTGGGGAGGATGGTTTTGAACAAGAACATTGATAACTTTTTTGCTGAGAATGAACAGCTGGCGTTTTGTCCTGCTATTATTGTCCCTGGTGTTTATTATTCTGATGATAAACTGCTTCAGACACGTATTTTCTCTTATGCTGATACACAAAGACATCGCCTTGGACCTAACTATTTGCAGCTTCCTGCTAATGCTCCTAAATGTGCTCATCATAATAATCACCATGAAGGTTTCATGAACTTCATGCATAGAGATGAGGAGGTATGTTTTTCTATATTCATATTTTGTAAAAATAATAAATATTGTTATTGACTTTTGTTAATTTTATAATCTTTTTACACTCTCCAGATCAATTACTTCCCTTCAAGACATGACCCTGCTCGCCATGCTGAACAGTACCCTATTCCCCCTGTTAGGTTGTCAGGAAAGCGTGATAAGGTCAGTTTATTTATTTTTTCTTTAAAAAGTTTTGTTTAAATTGTTACTAAAATGGGCTATATGTACTTTGTTTTTTCTAACACTTGTAAATTATAATGTTTTGTGTAAATGCAGTGTGTGATTGAGAAAGAGAACAACTTCAAACAGCCAGGAGAGAGATACAGATCCTTTGCTCCAGACAGGTTTTTATATATTTTCTCATATTTCCTTTATTTATTTATATTTTTTTTTAATTTTAGTTTCATCAATAAACTAACTTGATTTATTTTTTCTTGATTTTTAACAGACAAGAACGATTCATTAACAGAATTGTTGGTGCTCTGTCTGACCCGCGGGTCACTCACGAGATCCGCACAATCTGGGTTTCATACTGGTCTCAGGTTCGAATTATTAATGAATTGAATTCAAATAATCTACAAAAGATTAAGAGTAAATTACAAAAATTGTCCCTGTGCTTTCTGATTTTTACCATGTTTTGTCTAAAGCTAAAACAATTTTCAGTTTTGGTCCTTATGTTAAGGTTTAATATTCGTTTTTGGTCCTTATTGCAAGGTTCAAAACCTTGAAATAAGGACCAGAATTGAAAGAAAAAAAAGTTTCAATATTGGACTAAAAGATAAAACAATGTAAGAATAAAAAAGTTCAGGGACCATTTTTGTAGTTTGCTCCAAGATGAATGTTTTAAATTCTTTACAATAAAAATGGAATGTTGTTGCAGGCTGACAAGTCTCTGGGGCAAAAGATAGCTTCTCGCTTGAATGTGAAGCCAAGTTACTGAAGGGTAAAATTGGAAAAAGCCTTTGGGTTGTGGTATACAAAATAGTTTAGATAAGTCTGTTTGAGTCGAATGTGTTGTTATCGAATTGGTGTTGGAGTCGTTTCTTTAATGGTTGTAATGTGGAATAACTTTGCATGATGCTAATGATGTGATTGCTTCTTCCAAATAAAAATAAGTCAAATGTTATAAATTCTTTTGTCATGAATTTGTGTTATACGTTTGCATTTCTATATGATCTTTATGAATTAATGGGGTTTAAATTTGCATGAAACTATTAGCCTCTTTCATCATGTTCATGTTGAATTTTTGGTGATGTTGGATGTTGATCTGATTCTTGTGATGAAGTGTGATCTATTATTAGTGTTGGAGTGGAATGATTTTGATTTTGGTTATTCAGTATGGGGTTAATTAATAAGTTTAGGATTGGTCTTGAGTCTTAAAAGTAATCAGCATTTTTTATGTAGAAAACAAATAATCTTTGAATCACAGAAAATAATATTGCTTTTGCAAATAGTTTAGTTGAAACTATTATTTAGTTTTAAAGATTTAAATTAGCTAAACGTTCGTTAGCTTGATCAGACCATGACAAGCCATACTCTTGAAACATTAGGGAAAGGGTAAATGTTTGGGGTTGATTTTATTTGTGCTTTCATTTTTAGTTGTTGCAATAGAAAAATGAAAAAAAAAAAAAAAAAAGTAAATCAGTCGAGTATTTTTTTTAAGTATTTTTTTAAAAAGAAGATTTCCAATAAAATTTTAATATTTTGAATCAGTTTACAGTTTAATTCAAAGTTAATTTTTTTTTACAAAAGAAGACAAATTACCAATTAAAAATTCAGAATAACCCTTTTTAGCCAATTTCACAAATTTAGCCAAGATCTTTTATTTTGTACCAATAACCAAAATTAGTTCAAATGTAATTTTCAAAAAAGTCTTATTATTTTGTTTATTGGTAAAAAAAATAACATAACAATATAGATTAGTTCAAGGATAATCTTCAGAAAAATCTCAATATTTTAGTTATTGGTAAAAAATAACGTGATCTTTAGAAAAATCTCAATATTTTAACCAATTAACCAAAAAAGACGAAATATTGACTAAACTTGCGAAACCAGACAAAAATGGTTATTGCGAAATGTAGTTGGTAATCTATCTTTTTTTGTAAACAAAAATTAATTTGGGATTACCTAAAATATTGAGACTTTATTGGAGATTTCATTTTAAAAGAATTGGAACAAAATCTTAATAAAAGCTATATTTTGAACTAATAATGCTAGTCAAAATTTTTTTTGGACTAAATTGGTAATTTTCAACAAATCATAGTGACCATTTCTACGATTTTGTCTTTTGTTTAGAATATGAACAAAAAAATGTTAAAACCTTATGGAACAAAATTACATAAGAGCATTTCGGAACAAAATTGAAAACTATATTATGGGAGAGAGGGACCATAATTGCAATTTACTCCATTTTTTTATTATGTTAGATCTTGTTTAGGTGATAAGAGTTATTGCGTGATGAAACGTGGGGAGAAAGCAAAAATGAGGCCAACAAAACAAGGAACCGAGAAAAGTGATTTTACATATTAAAATGCTTGAATTTTAGCAAGAAATTTGTTTCTTTTAGCAACTTGGTATAAAATAAGTGACCCATGATTCCCCCCAACTTGGTAAAATGAATCTTGTGGAAGAGAACTCAAGTCAAATTTGTGTGATATGGTGGTATATATGATTTGTGGGGTTGCTTGGTAGTGTTTTATACCCACACATAGGAGAGATACCCAAAGGATATTATCACCTTTTGAGGGACTATTTTTGTCACTTGAATGGTTGTAACTAAACGATTTATTATTTATTTATTTATTGTATGTGTATGTGTTTTGTGAAAATTTTTAATATATATATATATATATATATATATATATATATATATATATATAAAATTTATTTATCTGTAACATCTCAAAAGTCAGAATAAAAAATTTTCATTTTTATATTGAATGAACCATTAACCAAACATGTTTGTCAAAAACATAAAGTATTCAGAGTAAATCAAATAACATTCCAAAAGTACATCAGAGTCAATAAGTGTGAAAAATCATGGTGTGTGTGATGCAATCATCTCGAGTTATTCCCCTTCGAACCGGAGGTACATAAAACATAAAGTGAAAACCATAAACATAAAACTTAGTGAGTTCTCCAAAATACCGCATACCATACATATATGCCAGCTCAAGGTTGCGTCGGGTCTATTTTCACCCCCACATACATATAGCAAACAGACACACATGCATACAACACATACAACAGGAGTCACAAAGACTACAAGCACATACAATCCATAGTGTCCTATAGTATAGTCAACAAACTCACCTCGCAAAGCAGGTCAAAAGTCGACACGTCCTCGAAATCCCACAACAGGTGCTAAACGCCACCTAGATAATCACACGAGGCAAAACCTTAACCTACATTTCAAGACATTAATAGCTGATCCAAAATCCACAAGTCAAAGGTCAACCCTCAAGGTCAGTGGTCAAAGTCAACACCTGACCCTCACATCGTGACTAGCTCATGGTCACGTTGTGAATATGAACTCGACCCGGTCCCAACTCAGCGAGTCAACTCAACTAATCAACTCGCCTAGTCTCGATTCCAATCATCGTCACATCGTGGCCACTCCCGGGTCACATTGTGACATAAACCAAACAAAAGAGTCGCAGATGGCATGCATTCTCATGACGTGGCCGGTTCATCCTCACGTTGTGAGCGCTGCCTTGGCCAACTTTGAGCATTAAGCTCTTTAAGCCACTACTTGGGGATTTCTAAAGGGTCTTCCCTCACCCAAAGGATAATAAAATCATGGATTTTTAGTCATGCATGTCGAATGCATAACTTAAACACTTACTAGGTCAAAGAGGGAAAATGAGATCAACACTCATGCTTGGAGTCTAAAACCAACTCCAAAACTCAGATACAAAGCTTATAGTATAGAAGTTGTCTCAATGATCCATAAAGTTGCCAACTTTATGGATCCCATGCATGCTATCCAACTCAACCATGCAAAAAGGAGCTTAAAACCTAGATCTATCATGTAAGAGGTAAACAGGCCAAATCTTTATGACTTATAAGTGTCCAAAAGCTCAGCAAGAAGGTAAGGTAGAATCTAGATTGCCGAGAGAATGCTTCGTAAAAGTCTTCTTCCACTTCAATGATCTAAAGACCACCAAATAAGTTCTTCATGATCACCATAAATGGCTAAGGACATCAAGCAGGTCGATATTAGGGTTTTTGGGAGGCTAGAGAGTGAGGGAGGCTGAGGATGGGCAACCCTAGCCCTTTCATTCCATTAAATACTCGAACATTAGGGTTTTGGATCATTAGGTCGTTCTCACGTCGTGGGGATCCATACCTCACGTCGCAAGACTAGAAAAAAGCAAGTCAACAAGTCAATGGTCATTCATGAGGTGAGCACCATATCTCAAGTCGTGAACTTCTTCCAAAAGGTTAGCAATTAAAGAAACTAAGTACCTCCATGATCCAAATGTTACATTATCATTACATGAAATTTGTGAATCGTAGTGTGGTTTACATATTTAACTCAAGTTCATATTCTGAAATGAATTTTGTGTGTTTGATTATTAGGTAATGACATATGATAGATTGCGGGGGGGGGGGGGGGGGGAACCTAGGAGGTTTATAAGGTATTCTTTGTACATGTCATGCAAAGGCTTTAGTGGGTCAAAGGATGTTAGAGATTAATAATAAACTGTATCTCTGATTAGGATCCGATCAAAGTAGATTTTTGATCAAATTGGATCGAATTAATCCAGTTCACTGGATTATAACCAAATCCATATCCTACAGAAGAAATTTTGATTTGATACCATTCATATTTGCCAAAATCTAGATTCAAAGCCACCTTAAAATGTGTTAAAACTCATCCCTAATCGGATAAAACTGGATCCAAACCAACCTTAAAATTCATCTCAAAACGAAACGGATTTGGCCGGATCTCGATCGGATTTTGATATGTGTTTAGTATAGAATTTTATCAATTATTAGCTAATTATTTACTTAAATATGGACAAAAGGTATTTAATAATGTCTAAATTATATTTTCAGTCTAGAAGACATGATTGGGAGCAAAAAGAAAGAAGGAGAAGCAATCAGAAGCTGGAAAATGAAGAAAGAAGAACAAACCTGACCCTACTCGGCGAGTCTAGAAGCTACTCGGCGAGTCCAATTGAATGTTCGCGAAGTAATATCAAGAATCCTTGCCGTACACATATTTCTCAAAGGAACTCAGCGAGTTGGGCACCTACCCGCCGAGTTGACCCTGTTTTGAGATAATTATAAATAGAGGACGAGATCCCGAATTTAGGAGTTCTTTGGCTTCCTTGGAGAACAACCTGCGACTGAAGAGACCCTTGGAGACCTGAAGAACCTTAATCTTTGATCCTTAGAAGACTCAAGGCAAATTAGGTTAAATCTTCCACTTAATCTAGAAGTGAATCATGTTTAGATCAATTAAATTCATTTTTAGCTTCTCTTTGATTGTAATCATGAGTTGAATTTTCGTAGTTTCTGTTTAGGAAAGACTAATTTACTCCTATGGTGTGATTTATACTTTGATTGATTGATTATTGGTGATTTTATTAAACTAAGTTTGTTAAAGAACCTTATGCATTAATTAGAACTATTTTATGTTAATTGGAAGACAATTAGGCTGCATGAACATCTCTTAATTGTTAACCTCATATGATTTATGTGAACACTTCATTATATGCCTAAGATTATTGAATATGAAACTAGGATTAATTAGAGAATGGGTAAATTAATGTGTGAGCTTGTTTGGTAAACCAACAAACAAGAGGTTAGTTGAACCACCAATTTGATTAACCAATTACAAATCTTATTTAATCCAAATAATTGAACTAGGGAGTTAATTAGTTTAAACATTTGATAATTGATTGAATTGATGAATTTCCTAAGAGTTGGTAATAGTGAATGCGAATCTAATCACTATATTTGGTAACCAATAACAATCAATATATTATTTTATCATAAAATTAATCATAGGGGTGAATTAGTTGGACCTAAACAGGAACCCTTTTATTAAATTTGGTGAATTTTTACTTGTTCTAGTTGTTTAGTTAATTACATCTTAGGAGGTGTGTTTAAGTTTCTAGTCTTGTAAAACTAGAGAAAAACCCTTTACTTTTATTACTTGTCTAGTTAAAATTAGTTATTAGTTTAATTTCCGTTCCCTGAGTTCGACAC